TTCTGCGCCAACTCCACCGGTGCGCCAACCTCCACCTGTGCAGCACCTCCGCCAAGTGCGCCACCCCTCCACCAGTGCGCCCACCCCGCAAGTGCGCCACCTCCACCATGTGCGCCATTAACGAGCACCGTCACCACACGCACGCCACAACAAAGAGCAGCTACAATGTTATTCGGTTCAGCTCGAGGGCCAACTCAGCTCTTGCCCAAAGATGGAAATGTCTAATAGAACCTGGAATCAATGTTGGAATTTAAGTTTTGGTGCCTACCCCAGTCACTTTCCCGACCACTATATACAATAGGTGCACTACCATCACCAGATGCACGGCCATCATCAGATGGAATGTGTTTTTCTTCACGACCAATCTTGCCGACTGCCCGTTATCAAAGTAAAGAATCTTCCCTTTTCTCGCACCTAAGTTTTAGAAGTCCTCAATTCATGGCCAACACCGTCTACATCAAACATCTGTGGAGTTACTAATTTTGGTGGCTCAGAAGCACCTCCACAATTTGGAGGTGTGTAATGTCTCCAGCACCACCACAACTGGATCAGGTCTGAAGTTTAAGTTTTGTGACGCACCATTTCAAGTGAGGATGAAGAAGTGAAGTTAATGCAGAATTATATCCTCCAGGAAAGGGTTAGGGAAGATGTTCAGCAACTATCCCGACCAAATGTCCTCCAGCACCAACCACCAACCACCCCAGGCACCAACACCCACCTACATCATTCATCTGTACTATAGGGAGTTGATCCAGTTGATGTCCACAGAAAAGTTTTGCAAGGTTCAACAACCAACAACAACACTTTAGCAAAAAATCCAGTCCACACTGGCACAGATCTACAAATCACGAAGACAGTGATCAGAATGAAAAAGTATCTGATGATGTTACTTCCGATACTGATGAATGGGATAGCCCAGCAGCAGTTATTCTGAGCTAATATCGGATACAGTAATGACAGAAAATGTTTTTACTGCGGAGGTAATTTTCAATTTTTCTAACGCCATAGTAAGAAGTGAACTGTACAATGTAGTTCTCCTTGTGTCCCAAGTCCTACGGAACGAATAAGTGAATAACAGTGAATAAATTGAGTTAACAAAACGCACAACTGATTTGAGGCATAACGTATATTCTTATCTTGTATTTTGAAACATAAAATAGCATATGCAGAATAAATATACATGACATTGAAAACTATCCCCGCAGGACCCCATTTAACGTCCTGCCCGGAGCATAAATTCGGGAGTGTTGGGCAGTGCCCACGCTTCAATTTATGGCAGGATCTGCGCTCATCTCCTGCCACCAATGTCACACCCGTCGAAGAGTACTTGGCTCAGGAACGAGTTAAGACTTTATTCTGAAAAAATCTTATCGAGAAAGTAGGTTAATCAGTTTATTTTGGCAATAGAAGAGTAGTGTGGATGCGTATCCACCTGAGAGTTCGACTTTCGTGGCTACGATATTAAAGGTGCACGGTACATTTCGTCACGTACGGAAGTTCGCCACGCACTAAAGTTCGACAAGGCTGTCGAAGACATCGCACTAAAGACGACTCTGTCGAACTTTGGTGCGCTACTTGGATATAGTTCGACACGTACTGAAGATCGACAAGGCTGGTGAATTCTCAGGTTCGATACCTGAACACTTGTCCTTCCACTTTTTCTGTTGAGGAGTGCAGGGCTGTCGCATCATCTTCGGTTAATCGTACAATCCTCAGATCTTGTTCCTTCTACAAGACATCTATGAAGCGCAAATAGTGGGATTAGTGCACTCGAAGGACTTCTCAATGCGCTTTCTGTTCAGGTAATACCGGAGTATCCCTCGTGGATGAACGTTACGCGGGAGCCAGAACTCGACCAGGAATGAAGGTGATGCATGGTAAAAACATGATGTTCGATACTAATGTTCATGTTGTATACCTTATATACACATTAATGTACCGTCACTAATTGTGTACGTACATTAGAACCATACCGAACAAAGTGTGAAGGGCCTGATCGGAACCGCCCCGTTTAAGTTCCTTGTTTAACACTGCGTACAGCAAGGACCTACACCCGAGTTTCTCCAATCTACCATTTCCAACCTATCATCTCAGCATACGAGCTTGTTATCGCAATCAAATGCCGAGTGGATCATAATTAGCGTGCAGCCACAGTCGGTGCCGACAACTGGGAACCACTCATTCCGGGCTCCCAACCCACAAGTATAAACATCACATGGCCCCATCAGTTACGTACAGTTGTAATGTGATCCTATTAAACCATCCTACAGCCGGCCAAACAAGAACCTGGATAGGGTTCCTATGGCAGTTTAGTAAGGACTTTGATTATGAAGTATATTATGAAGTGTTTGGAGCTCTCGCATGTGTAATTATTTGAGTTTGAACTATCATTATCTTTTAAAAATCTTGGTCGTTAATCTTAATTAATGCTGAAATACATACACCCAGCGGTGAAATCATGGAAATCGAATGTTTTAAAGTGATCTCCAAGGTTCTTAGTTGTCGGGGATATGTCATGATTGGTTCCTAGTTGTCGAGCGATTGGATTTTTCCCAAGCTTGCATGTATATGAGTAGCACCAGTGCTTCCCATAAGAACACGAAACATCGTATGTCGGGCCTTCATTAATACACACTTGATCTGTCATGACGTGAACTGTCGATTACAAGCAGTAAATGGAGAGGGAAAAATATTTGTCGAACTTCTAGTGCACCAAAGTTCGACATGTGGTGATTTTGCGAACTTTTAATTGTCGAATTCGGTGAGTGCTGAACCACAGTACGTTTGGGGAATCTTAGTTATACAGGGTGAAACCTACGTATACTGGGTTACCTTTGTGGCAATAATTTCCATTTTATTTTATTTGCATTATCGTTATGTCCAAACTACCCTTGTTAAACAATTTTTCTCTATTTCATATTCTTTTCATCATCCCTGAGTTGTTACAAGGTGATAACCCATTTTCACAGATGTCTCTATGACCGCAGGATTAATGTGTTGACTACGATCACCACAATCGAAAGATCAAATGAGGTAATCCATTATTTCATAATCAATTTTCTAGCTAGTTTTTTTTAGCAAACAAATTATTATTAATTACTTATTATGTAAAGCTCTATCGACATTCGGCGATCAAGTTTGGGATCATCTACATGTATCAAAATTATATTTTTAGCCCACACTAATAGCTACGTTTGTATATATTCGCTCTCATTATCTTGCTTTCTTTACTCGCCTTGTTTTAACGGCGAAAATTTTGTGTCCTTAACACCTTGTCGCGTAGCCTTACACATAGCTGCTGTGAACGACGCGGAGATTGACAGTATTATGTTTAAAATTAAAGCTGAGGATTGGATGGCAAAAGTGAGAATCAATTCTGTTGTGAAGCACCAGTTGACATACTTCTGTACAGTGCTAAACATTTTTTGCTAAAGTCATTAAGTTTAACGGGTAAAGTATAAGTTTGCAGCGTTCTGTCAGAATCGATTCATTTGGTTCACTTTTAAAATGACAAGTAAAAGAAGATGAAAAACGACTGACCAATCAAGAATCAGTTGATTGATAATCAAAAATTGGTTATCAGAGCGCGAATCAATAATTGAATGCAAAGAAAAAACAAGTCGCAGGCAGTGCGTGACGTCGTAAATTTAAAGACACGTGTCAGTCTAGTTTAATATCGTACAGCTATGCAGTTCCCCCCCCCCCCCCCCCCCCCCTCCCGCTGACCCGCAGATGCGAGAACTTGAAGAAGTCGTCAATGTTCTGTGGTGTGCAAGCAGAAGACCGATCCAAGAACTTGAACAGAACTGTCGGAGACAGTATAGGAGGAGATTGGATCTGAAAGTTAGAAAGTAGCAATGAGCACAGTAGAGTTGGCAAGTGTGAAGGAGAAGGACTTCTCGGCCAGTCAAGGCAGACTCTTCCAGTTCCAGTACAAGCCTATCAATACTCAATCAACCCAACTAGCTGCGGACATTCAGAGAAATAGCTTTCATGATTTCCAGTCTTCATAGGAGTTTCCTATTCCCAGACCACTCATTGGAGGATCGAGTTAAGCGTTAGAGACTTCAGGAGAGAACTGTTCGACAAATTATACTGAAGACGATCACGAGTGGAATGAGTGTGGCTTTACAGATAAACTTGGTTCAATACATACGGTTGTCGCGTTGCAATTATATTAGGGACGATAGTTTTCGTAGAGGATGGGGACTTGTCCTGTTGGGAATAAACATTTTTATTTGTGAGTTTATTCTTTTGGCTGTTGGAGCATATAATACTTAATTTGCCTCACAGAGATTTGTCAATGAGGTTTAAATTCCGTCGTTAAGAGTGCAGATCTACACTGTGTGCCTTTTTTTATTAAGGGTGCATGTGCCCTTGAAGTCAAGGGGTTAAAAAATATTTTGAATATATATTTGTTTTAAGATTAAAATTGTCATTAGAAACCACCCGGCATCGTCTCGGTTTACAATCAAAATAAATATCTTGAGTATGCTTAATATTGTCACCAGGTAATAATATTACCAAAAAGCGTATTTACCTAAATTTATTTGAGCTTACATTTTCAGCCACTCGAGAGAGATCACTGAGATGTGCTTGGCGTTGCGATGGTCAAGAACAACCTCATTTAAAACGTAGAGAAAGTGTTGGATAGAAAATGCTAATTTGGTAATCTCAACTTAAATCTGGTCTCAAACTGTTGCAGAGATTCTGCCGTTTCTTTCGAATCCAGCACAAGAAAGATATCCGATTCATTCAGTTTCGCCACAGATGCGAAAAGGTAAGAAGAGGCAATAAATGAAGCTGGATTTTATTCCGGTGCTATGAAAAAAACCCGAAAAAAAAATTATTGTATTATCATAATCCATTTCGTTATTTAAATAAAACATTATAATGTAATTATATATTTGTTGTTTAATCTTCCTGTCGACTTAACAAAAAGACGCGGGTTGGATGGAAATAGTTATCCTCAGTCCATAACGTCTTCCTAATCCGTGCAGATGAAAGCTAGAAAAAGAGCAGGAGCGGGTGGCACCTACATGAAAAGACTGAAGCTAGCCTCCGACAGTCTTAAGAGTACTGACCCTGAGTCCAGTTACGGGACTGTCCTCAATATGGACTCCTACCTCGCGTTTAAAGGTCTTACGCTTGAAATATAACACTCAATTTCCTGAAATCACGCAAAACTTGGTTTCGGTTTTTTATTTTTCGCTTTCAGAGATCATTCACGCATTACATAAGCCAGATTTTAGCCATTTTAGACCCCCTACCCCCAGTGGCGTAACGAAAGGCCCTGCTGACCCCGCTGTGCAGGGGGGCGCCGTCTTAGGGGGGCGCCAAATCGTCGTTTGAATGTGGGACAATTTCGAAAACTTAACTAAAGTACTAGCAAAACTGCGCGTTTTGCTCTAGATACACACTTTTTTAGAGATTTTACCGGCGTATTCTCTAAAATCACCTAATTTGTTCAATTTTAGGGAGGGGCACCAAAAGGGGAGGGGGCGCCAACAGGGGGGCGCTTTTTTCGGCAGGGGGGCGCCAACAGGCAACGTTACGCCACTGCCTACCCCTTTGTAAGCCACTTTAAACATAACTATTGCGTAAAAATTGCAGAAGGGGGAACTTTTCGTAATACTTGAACGATCCCTAGCTCAATCCGATCACTTTGAAAACTAATGAGAAAACTTGTTCAGACTTTTCCGGCTCCAAAGCTGGGAAAACCAAAAAGAAAAGTCGGCGGAAAGGGATGGTGTTGAGCAGAACAGAACAGAAAGCTATCGAGAGCACAGCTAGAGAAACGCTAGACAAGCTCTTACCAAAGTAAGTTGTTGTTTTTGTTAAATATTTCTAACATATTCATTATTCTGGTTCGCTTAGCTATTTAATTTCTAGAACCAGCTCGCCGAACTCGGATTCTCTTCATCTTCAGGCTCATAATATAATATAATAATATAATAATATAAGAATATATTTCCCGTCTGGATTCAGTTATTAAACTGAATAATAAGTACTTTTATTTTTGTGGAAAGATAGAACAAACCTTTGATGAAATGAGAACTTTGCAAGCATATTTTCAATTTTGATACATTTACTTATAGTTATTAGTTATGGCTTGTAAGCTGTTCGGACAGCACATGAGTTTTTGACTTTAAAGTTCATTGTGGAAACTATCTAAGCAAGTTTTATTTTTTCATTGTTCGACCTTGTTATATATAGTACTAGTGTAACCCGGCCTACGGCCGGGATTTCACTGCCGCAGTTAAAAAGGGTAGGAGTAATTACCCGCTGAGTCAAAACCCGCATTAGGTGACCCAATAGTTTCTTAAACAATAATCTCATAATCAGTTATTTCTTGTGGATAATTAAGTCATTATTAGCCATGAGGCACCACACTCCATGATCATAAGGTCTGAACACCGAGTATTACACCTCATCACTCCCGTCTTGAACCGCTTTCTATTTTTATTTAAATCGTTATAGAAATTAACCCTTGTTAACTCCGCACCACACCCGCATATTATATTTGAAAACATGCATAACATTGTCGTATGAACTCTCTCTCTCTCTCTCTCTCTCTGCAGTCCAAACAGACCCCAAACACTAACAGTCCCCCCTCCCCTAATAAGCTTAAGGTATAACATTACAGCGAATCCGGGCTAATCCAATTATGACGCTACTTAAATGCAGCTATAACATATTACACAGTAATGAGAGAGAGAGAGCAAGCCCCGTAACTCTTGCCGTTCTGCTCACGCAATTTTATGTAACATTTGTGGTACAAAACCATCAATTAAACCACTTACCATCGGCCGATTTAAAAAAAAATTTCCTATGGGCTTCATCAGAGTTTTGTCGACACTATACCGAAAAAATCAGTCCCGTAACTCTTACCGTTTTTTTTTGTATAACCGACCGGAAATTACACACGGACAGACAGACAGACAGACAGACAGACACACACACACACACACACATTCTGGTGTTATTAAGGTGATGGTATCTAGACCGTCCTGACCAAGTTGTCAAGCTGTGGCTGGTACCGGTGGCTGGTACACTGGTACAGCTGGCTGGTACACTGGTACCGCTGGCTGGTACACTGGTGCAGCTGGCTGGTACACTGGTACAGCTGGCTGGTACACTGGTACAGCTGACTGGTACACTGGTACAACTGGCTGGTACACTGGTACCGCTGGCTGGTACACTGGTACAGCTGGCTGGTACACTGATACCGCTGGCTGGTACACTGGTACAGCTGGCTGGTACACTGGTGCAGCTGGCTGGTACACTGGTACAGCTGGCTGGTACACTGGTACAGCTGGCTGGTACACTGGTACAGCTGATTGGTACATGCTAGCTGGTACAGCTGACCAACATGAAACAGCTGTCGGTATAATTTATGGCAAGCTTTCAGTCCTCAATCTGGTCATGGCACGAAATTTCTAAATCGGCTCAGTTCAATTAATTAATTTAGTGGAACACGATCACCTCCGTTATATTGCCATGACATGTTTAGCATGCTTTTCTGCCTGATATAGGAGATGAAAGTGGTTATTGTCCGCCTGTGCACTCTATCTAGGATATCACACTGTGACCGCTTAACACAGACCGGTCGTATGTGTAGCGAGCACTTTAGCAATGTCCTCCGTACACTACATATGGACAAAAGGAAATCGCGGCATGTGCGGAATCGCGATTTTTCCCATTATTTGCGACAAATTTTATGTATTAGTCGTATATATCTTGGGCAAAATAATCGCGATTTTCTTTTGTCCCTGTCCGAACATAGATCTGGGTGTGTTATCTTCAGCGCCCACGTGTGTTATCTTCAGCGCCTTTAGTGTTTAAGTGTTATCCATCTGTTTAAGAGTTGTACTAGAGATTTTAAGATTGCTCGACAATTATTACATGATACGTATCTTTAAAATAGTCTAGATTCACTATTGACTGTGAATCATGTGCTGCGGACAGCTAGAACTATATAATAGTTCGTTCACAATCCACATTGTTGAACGCCGGAGAAAACGTTATTACAATTTACTGATGCTTGCTCACTTGCTGTCGACATATTTGAATTCCGATATTTATATTTAATCATTATTGAAGTTTATTGAGAATAATGGCACTACTATTTTGCACCGTTGACACTGCTGTATTTAGATGGAAAGGCGAAAAATCGCCAAGTTCGTTGACAAACGCAGAAATTGAGCGAAAGAAGGAAGATCTGTTTCAAAATATTGGGTACCTGAAATCTGTTTCTTATTTTCGTGGTTTCATTTGAGCATACTGATTTAATAGATTTATTCACATATGACTATGTGTCTAACCTACATATAATAAGATCTATTAAAAAGTTTAAAATTCATTTTTTGTTTAATAATTTTTTAAACTTTAGATTTTGTTCTTCAGGGAACTTCACACCTCTCTGTCAGTGTCAGAGCTACTAGCACAACCAAAATGGCGCCGGGGATTCAGACCGTCTAAAGTTATAGGTTAAAGACACTTCCTTATCTTCTCATTTATTTGGATCAATTGTTTACTGTAATTGACCTTCGTTGACTTTAACAGCCAGTTCGAAATGTTGATTGATAACTTGTTGGTAATCACTAATTAAAAATTACATGAGCTTACTAACTATTCTATCTGTAAAGCTGAGACCCCAGATAAGAAGCCTACGGTAAACCTGGGGACCACTAGGATTAGGAAACCGTCAGCTGGGTTCGAGACAATCTTCACTAGCTCCCGACCCATCCCCCTTCCTTCTGCTAAGAGAGTCATTCCTAAGTTCCTCAACAGAAGGGAACTTCTTGAGAGCAATCAGCTCTACAAGGTGAGGTTTCTGCAGGATTACACAGGATTACACATATTATTTGATAATGGGGCGTGCCGGAATGTGTGAATTGTTTTTGAAAGTTTGTTTTTATTAAATAAATAACAATTATTTTTACCGCTCACTGAAACTCATATCTTTGCCTGAAAAGGATTGATTGACAAAATACAAAAAGAAGGTTACGAAATATGATCTTTCTAATAATTAATCGTTAATTAAAATTGAACGCACATTCCAGGCAAAATATGAATTATCAGTTAATCCGGCACTTGGCACTTGGCACGTGTCCGAAAAAAGCCACTTCTGATTATTTTAGCATGCAGCTCTTAATATGGCAGAGGCTTCGTTAAGTTTTACCGATTGTGACATTCTTTGTTGACTCCATTGCAAGCATATCATAAGATATTTCTCCTGAAGCAACAATAAGATTCATTTCTATAAGTTTGTAGTTCCCTTCAATAATTCTCCTCTATGCTGATTTATACTTCGTAATATCTCCATTCTCCACGAGGTTATGTTAATTTGTTACTTTAGAAAATAAGACGAGTATGCTTTACAACGAAATACTTATCGCTCACCGGCAGTTAACACGCGACAGCAAGACGAGGGAATTGAAAATAGACGAGGAAATCGCGCTGCTGGGATCTTATGCCGGTTAGAAAATAACAACTATCCTCAAAGTTTTACTTTTAGAAAATAACAACTATCCTCAGAGTTTTAGAAAATAACACTATCCTCAAAGTTTTGTGTTTTGAAAACTTGATCTGTATATCCAAATGTTTGATGTGTTGAGCTGGTTACATGAAGATGCTCCGTAGATAACGTGTCTCCCTGCAAATGCAACAATGTGGTCTAACTATCATCTAGCATAGCTCTTATTTTCTCTGCAAAGAAATTATTTTTAAATTAATAGGATTGTTCTTTAACCTCACTGATTCTAACCTGCACATACTAACGTGAGTGTGACGTCGCAATATCTCACGTGAGGATGGTCTCATACTCAGAACCAGCATTGTATTTCAGTGTCTAGTTTACTTCGAGTCTAGTTTAAACTCAACACTTCAACCACAATCGTTTAATTCACACTATCTAACTTTGATCTTGAATTTTATTAATTTTCGGAGTGCTGAAATGTTTCTGAAAAACACAGTACCTTATTCATTGACCGGCCGGGTGTAGAATATTTGCCAGGGCCTGTGAGATCTTATTGGGCCGGGGGTACAACTGCAATATTTACTGAGGCCGATATTTGTAGAATTCTGCCTCTTTGCTACCTGCCTTTCTTGTTTAAATTTCAAGAAATTTTCGAAATTGAAACTATAGTTAAGTTTATCAAATATTAATTCAGAGGGTCTATGACTAAATGAAAGAGTAAGAGGACATTGCGACTGTCATTCCCCAATAACTATGACTAATCAAAGAGTCTAAAAATTGAAATTTTGCAATTCCGAGGCCGTGCAGCTAGATCATATGATACATATTTACTTAGAGACCCGTAAACCTCACCCCCACACCAGGTATTACAAGGTACAACTACCTCCGTGATGGTGACGAGAAACTGAAGGAGAAGAGACTAGAGTACAACAAACAACTGGACAAGCTGCACCGCCGGAAGCTCGGCCTCAAGAGATCCTGGATAAACGTCGTCAGCAAGCGAAGTATTTTAAACTCTTCCGTTTGTTAAAGTTCTATAAGTCTGTGTTTTTATCAAGCTAGTTTTTACGGTAACCCAAACAATCTCACACTCTGACTCAGAGTTGTAGTCTCGTTGGTATCCTAATCTTATTGCTCTGTTTTCTCTGAAGCAGCCATCATGTTTAGACACTGTTTTCTTTGAAGTAGTCATCATGTTTAGACACTGTTTTCTCTGAAGCAGTATCATGTTTATACCCATCAAGACTCAGCCACCCCCAGGGAACAGTCTGGATCCCAGGATGGGTCTCCCTAAGAATGCCCCCATGATGCCTCTTATTCCTAATCTTAGAAAGAGGTGCGTAGTTCTATTTATAGTACAGTGTATAGTATAGCCTCTTATAGCTAATCTTAGAAAGAGGTTTGTAGTTCTATTTATAGTACAGTGTATAGGTTTGTAGTTCTATTATAGTACAGTGTATAGTACAGTGTATAGTACAGTGTATAGTACAGTGTATAGTACAGTGTATAGTACAGTGTATAGTACAGTGTATAGTACAGTGTATAGTACAGTGTATAGTACAGTGTATAGTACAGTGTATAGTACAGTGTATAGTACAGTGTATAGTACAGTGTATAGTACAGTGTATAGTACAGTGTATAGTACAGTGTATAGTACAGTGTATAGTATAGTGTATAGTACAGTGTATAGTACAGTGTATAGTACAGTGTATAGTACAGTGTATAGTATAGTGTATAGTATAGTGTATAGTACAGTGTATAGTACAGTGTATAGTACAGTGTATAGTATAGTGTATAGTACAGTGTATAGTATAGTGTATAGTATAGTGTATAGTACAGTGTATAGTACAGTGTATAGTACAGTGTATAGTATAGTGTGTCAGACTCCGGGGCAGTGAGATTCTTAGTTTTTATTAGATTGATGTTTGTTATAGTTGCTTGACTTAGTATTGGTTGTATTCACTCGAATGATGGTGAAGATGGGGGGGGGGGGGGAAAACGGGACTTTGATGACGGTAAGTTAGTTCATGTACACCCATCAACGCTTACCCTTTACAGAATAAACAAGTTTGGCACGAGTAAAGAAAGCTGAGAGGAAGACCAACAACCTTCCTGGATATTTACGGAAGATTGATGGAAGAATGAAAATGCAGATGAGCCAGACATCTCGGATGAATCTCTACTGGTAGGTGGGGGTTCCAGCTCCCCTGAAGTTTACCGCCGTAAGTTAAATGCAGACTTTGGTATCTTAATCTTATTATGTGTGTTAGGGTAAATATATATTCGAAATTTCTTTAATACTATTATATAATTGGTATTATAATGATATTATATTTCAGCGACTCCAAACTTACTGGACTCAAGTCAAAACTCAGAGAGATTGGACCTTCCCGCTTTGATAAAGACTCCAAGACCGCCCCAGAACTCCACCGAAAATACGAAAGCCAAGCTTCTTCATTGACTCAACTTCGTAAATTCGACTGAAGATTTTCAGGTGAACCCGAATATACCCGATCAGTTCTTCCAGAAGTTTCATAAAAACTACTTCGTATTTGTGCACATATAGTTCTAACCGTACGTGTGTCCGTCTAGATCGTTTAAATAATGTTTATTTTATTACAGAAAGCATTTAACCTACCAACCAAAACCCCGGGTGAGCGTCGTCTTGAGACTGAGAACAAACGAGAACAAAAACAGAAGACGGGACTTAAAAAGAGGGGCTCCAAGATCACTCTACCATCCATTATAACAGCGGTTAAACCTGCATGGCGATGAAACGTGAACGTTCCATCGTAACTTCAAATAACCACTTATCCACTAACCAATTGGCCGTCCCTGTACATTCGCTAAACTCAATGGTTGGTTTTTTTGTCTGTTCGTGTGCACGTTGTTTGGCAGTCTATGTGGATTTATTATTCAATAGTGTTTACTTTTATGTATTTATCTCGCGAATACTGCATGCTAACGGAAGAAGTTTAGTACAGACAGATCCGTCTTTAAAAACCGATTTACCGACACAACACCTAGTGGGACTTACTAGTACTAGTTATATTGTGCGCGCTTTCAACATGTTCTCCCTCGCCTCTATCTGCATTCTGTCTCCATTAATGTTACTCTGCATGTTCGTTACTAAGCATATTGTTACTCTGCATGTTCGTTACTAACATAATGTTACTCTGCATGTTCGTTACTAAGCATATCCAAGCAGATATAACTATCCTCCTAATATCAAATCCTTTATCCTAACCCAAGTTTCAGATTGGGTTATCCCTAAACGAGCACCCTGCCACCACCCTGCCACCCTACCACCCTGCCACCACCCTGCCACCCTATCACCCTGCCACTAAAGTTACATTCCAGGACAATGTCTGTGAAGCCAAATATGGGGATAGTGGAGAATTACCGGGGGAGTTAAATTAAAAAACTATGATCCGGCCACTAGAGTAGAGTTTAAGGACGATGTGTTCAGCTCCTCCTCGTCTTCAAGCCTCAGTTCTGAAGACGAGAACTTGCTGACTTGATGGACCAATACTACAAGAACTACGATAGTGATGAGAGTTTTCATATTAGAGCTATCAGGAAATCCTCTTGTCCTCCGACACTAAACTAGGCTGTACGGGAGTGTTCCGCTAATGTCATCTATAACTAGTAGTAGATTATCAGCAATTGATGAATTCGAGGATTTATTTTCGTTCTAATATGATGCCATAATGATTCTTGTCCTGATGAAAATCCACTATTATTATTAGAAATTGTCGATCCATATCCTTGATCAAAGCATCAGTTATAGATCAAGATAACAAATAGATCAATCGCTTACAAATTAAGCAACCACTAATGCTGATTAAGGGGGGGGGGGGGGGGGGGGGGTGGGGGGTTCACCCTGATTTTTTTGTGAAACTTGGTTTCGAGATAGTAGTTGACCAACAAACTAGGACCAGTGACCGAACTTTTGAGGGGGTCCCGGACCCCAACCGCCAAACGGTGCCCGCGGGGCAGCCACGCCCATATTGGTCCAAATTAGGCCCAATTTAGCCAAATACCCTGGACATGCCCAAATCCAGATTTTAGGTGCTCTACTTGTAGCTAGTGGTCCCTTGAACTCGTATATGAATTTTCATCAAGATTGGACAAAAAATGACTGAGTTATGAGCAAAAAACCATATGACCATATTTGGGCATACGCACCAAATTTGATCGAATTTGGCCCATAAATTGGTCAAATATCAATATTTTTGAATGAAACCAACTTTATATGAAAGGTAAGCCTATACTACACATTATCAAGATTATCAGCTCAGTATCTACCTAACTTTGGATTAAGTTGGGTAGATTCTGAATTTCGCATTGCAAATTGTGGAATTTGGCCGCCAAATTTTTTTAAAGGCCTTACTTAAAATTCCAATACAAAACTTAAGGTCGAAATGCGATTCTACGTTGATTCTGAAAATTTCATGTAAAAATATTGAAACCCTATTGAGTTCTATTGTTTTGAGTGAAATCAGTTTTGCAAATATCGCGAACTGAGATATGGGCAATATTGTTCTTTTTTTGCGATTATTTGAACACAGAATCTACAGTTAGGTAGATACTGAGCTGATAATCTTGATAATGTGTGGTATAGGCTTACCTTTCATATAAAGTTGGTTTCATTCAAAAATATTGATATTTGACCAATTTATGGGCCAAATTCGATCAAATTTGGTGCGTATGCCCAAATATGGTCATATGGTTTTTTGCTCATAACTCAGTCATTTTTTGTCCAATCTTGATGAAAATTCATATACGAGTTCAAGGGACCACTAGCTACAAGTAGAGCACCTAAAATCAGGAGTTTGGGCATGTTCTGGGTATTTGGCTAAATTGGGCCTAATTTGGACCAAATATAGGCGTGGCTGCCCCGCGGGCACCGTTTGGCGGTTGGGGTCCGGGACCCCCTCAAAAGTTCGGTCACTAGTCCTAGTTTGTTGGTCAACTGCTATCTCGAAACCAAGTTTCACAAAAAAATCAGGGTGAACCCCCCCCCCCCCCCCCCTTAAGCATTTTCATTTAATCTATAGTTAATCTTATAGTTTGATCACACTATATAATATGTAATCACACTCGGCACTATGTATGTTATTGCAGTGATTTGTGGTTGTAACTGAAGCATGAACTTGCTTCGCTTTTGTATGTGCTCTGTAAATATTACATGTTGTAGACAAAATCAGGTTTTAGTGACGCTTGGTGTGTTTCTCCGTGTTGCTATGAAAACTTAAGCCACTGTGGAGTTTGGAGTGTGGACTTCACTTTTATTTGTTGCAGCACGAACTGCTCCATTCTTGTTGAATGTTGAAGCACGACCAGAGAACTACTGAAATATCGAACCCTATAATATCCACCCTTTCAGTCGACTCCTAACCTCCCGAAAGAGAGCCCAGCAGCGGGGAACGCAGATCCTCGATACCAGACCTCAAACCTCAGCTTACCTCCGAGGATTTAGGCTTTAAGATGAACATATTCCTCAGCGGGCTTTCATCAGACTCCAAACCAGGCATGCCTCCCGTAGTCGGATGAAGTGTTTAGGAACATTATTATATTAATGTGGTCTGGTGGTCAAGATACTGTGCAATAACCTGGAGTTCAGACCCTAAATCTGGAGTTCAGACCCTTAATCTGGGATTAAGACCCTTTATCTGGAGTTCAGACCCTAAATCTGGAGTTCAGACCCTTAATCTGGAGTTCAGACCCTTAATCTGGAGTTCAGACCCTTGATCTGGAGTTCAGACCCTTTATCTGGAGTTCAGACCCTTAATCTGGAGTTCAGACCCTTAACCTGGAGTTCAGACCCTTGATCTGGAGTTCAGACCCTTGATCTGGAGTTCAGACCCTTTATCTGGGATTAAGACCCTTTATCTGGAGTTCAGACCCTAAATCTGGAGTTCAGACCCTTAATCTGGAGTTCAGACCCTTAATCTGGAGTTCAGACCCTTGATCTGGAGTTCAGACCCTTGATCTGGAGTTCAGACCCTTAATCTGGAGTTCAGACCCTTAACCTGGAGTTCAGACCCTTAATCTGGAGTTCAGACCCTAAATCGGGAGTTCAGACCCTAAATCTGGATTTCATACCCTTAATCTGGAGTTCAGACCCTTAATCTGGAGTTCAGACCCTTAACCTGGAGTTCAGACCCTTAACCTGGAGTTCAGACCCTTGATCTGGAGTTCAGACCCTTCATCTGGAGTTTAGACCCTTAATCTGGAGTTCAGACCCTTGATCTGGAGTTCAGACCCTTGATCTGGAGTTCAGACCCTTTATCTGGGATTAAGACCCTTTATCTGGAGTTCAGACCCTAAATCTGGAGTTCAGACCCTTAATCTGGAGTTCAGACCCTTAATCTGGAGTTCAGACCCTTGATCTGGAGTTCAGACCCTGATCTGGAGTTCAGACCCTAAATCTGGAGTTCAGACCCTTAACCTGGAGTTCAGACCTTGATCTGGAGTTCAGACCCTTGATCTGGAGTTCAGACCCTTGATCTGGAGTTCAGACCCTTTATCTGGGATTAAGACCCTAAATCTGGAGTTTAGACTCTTAATCTGGAGTTCAGACCCTTAATCTGGAGTTCAGACCCTTAACCTGGAGTTCAGACCCTTAATCTGGAGTATAGACCCTTAATCTAGAGTTCAGACCCTTAATCTGGAGTTCAGACCCTTGATCTGGAGTTCAGACCCTTAATCTGGAGTTCAGACCTTAAGCTGGAGTTCAGACCCTTAAGCTGGAGTTCAGACCCTTAATCTGGATTAATACCCTTAATCTGGAGTTCAGACCCTTAATCTGGAGTTCAGACCCTTGATCTGGAGTTCAGACCCTTAATCTGGAGTTCAGTCCCTTAATCTGGAGTTCAGACCCTTAATCTGGAGTTCAGACCCTTTATCTGGGATTAAGACCCTTAATCTGGAGTTCAGACCCTTAATCTGGAGTTCAGACCCTTAATTTGGATTTCATACCCTTAATCTGGAGTTCAGACCCTTAATCTGGAGTTCAGACCCTTAATCTGGAGTTCAGACCCTTAATCTGGAGTTCAGACCCTTAATCTGGAGTTCAGACCCTTAATTTGGAGTTCAGACCCTTAATTTGGAGTTCAGACCCTTAATCTGGAGTTCAGACCCTTAATCTGGAGTTCATACCCGTAATCACAGTAATCACTGAGTTTCTGACAATGTTTGAGGCTCCGTAGCATCCATAACTGGAAAACGTTTTAATGATAAAGATATGTACACACACTATGGTTTATTCGAATCCCAACCAGACTCCATACTAATATTTATAATTGGAAACTTTTAGTTTTGTTATTATTGGACACTTATAGCTGTGTTAGTTACTTGCCTAGTTAGTAACTTGGTAGTAACTTGAAGTTACTACCCGTACCCTATGATTACATGGCCGCTACCCTATCATTATATCATTCATAATTTGCCCTGTACTACGATTATAGTTTACCAATATA